TCGGTAACCTTCGGTCACGCTCTCGGTTGATTTTTCTCTAGTCGGCACACTCATTTCCTCCATTACCGGGCGGCACGGCGGCTGGCTGCTTCCCGAACAAATACACATGTGCGGCTTGGCACTTGTACTGTATGTAACAAGTCACGTGACGTGACGCTGCGGCTGTGATTGGTTCGGCTCTGTGCTAGTTAATTTGGATTGGCTGTTCTTCTTTCTTTTTTTTTTTTAAGAGGACAAGAGCGGTGAGGCCTATCGCAATAGTTTAATTTTTCTATCAAGAAAAAGTTATTTCGCAATACATATCGTTATCGTTCTATCGCCCAGCTCTAGCTAAAAGTAGAGCAAATGGTGGAGTTTAGAACTGCAAAGGTCTCCACATCTGCCAGGAAATTCTTGGAGTTGTGGTCAAAGCGCAACAGCTGGACAACTTATTGGCACACTGCAGAGCAAATACACAGTCTTCACATTTTGCTGCTTTCTGTGTTTTCATTTCTTCACTATCGGTTCTGCACATGTATGTTTGTATTTTGAGAAACCTTAAGTGGAGGCAGAACTAAGGTTATAGGACAAAATACAACATGTGTACAAAATACATTTTGTTAAAAAGTGAATTCTTGATTTATTTAAGACTGTGATTTGGTTGAAACTGAAGCAAGAAAAGCATAATGTTTGAAAGACCAAAGCATTTAATCCGGAGAGGGTGAAAAGAGCTACTGACAGCTGAGTCGTGACTAGAGTTTATAGTTTTGAGGCAGCTGTCTGTCTAATGTGCTGTAATACAGACAATTCCGGTTCTTCAAGTTCTTCAGCTTGTTGTCAAAGATAATAAAGTCTTAAGGAGAACTGAGTCACACTCTCCCTTACAGAGACTTTGTAGAGGAGAAACTGGGAAGCAAGTATGTGATTGGCAGATCACTGGACTTTGCTGTCTCCTTTGAAGAGTCAGGTCCAGCTACGCCCATGTTCTTCATCCTCTCTCCCGGAGTTGACCCTTTGAAGGATGTGGAAAAACATGGTAAGGCTTCTGCATGTTTTATCTTTAAAAAAGCTTTTAAATCCTGCTTAAAAGTGTGTTCGGGACTTTTATAAGAGCGAACACATTGCCAGTATATCGTTTCTTTTAGCTGTGTAGGGTTTTGGGTTAGTTATTAAGAGGAAATGCCTTGTCTACCTGCATGCATGATTTCAAATTTTAGTTCTGTTGCATAGGATTATCAGTCAGAACAACACATTTGTAATGTGTATCTGCTGTAATACCAGCCATCACTGCCAATGCACAACCAGCTCTGGATAGACTGAAAGGATTATACTAAAGGTCAGAAATATGTGAGATGACACCACTGGTGTATTAGGGCAACAGAAAGTAAATGTCATTGGTTTTAGAGTTACTTTACATTCCTTTATGAATAATGGGTGGGTGGTGGCAAGATTTTTTTTTTACTAGAAATATGGCAAAAGTTGAAGCTTTTGTACTGACCTAGGCATTAATTCAGTTTTTGGGTATTTGAAATCAGCTGTATGAAATATTCAGATTGCAGGAATTGTTTCAGTTAACTGGAACAGATTTCCTCATTATTTCTCTTCTACCCAAGCATATGCATTGGCATTTTTGCATTCAAGTAATGAATGATTTGTTAGGGTTTTTGTTTTTGTGTTTGTTTTGCCTTACTTGGGTTTCAGTTTCTCCTTTGTCGTCCTTTTATCCTCGGATTAATTTATCACACAGCGTAATGTTGAAGTGTTGGTTTATGCTCAACACGCTGCATTATTTGTGACTATTTTTAGATGCTTCATTTTTATAGGCATCGCCAGGTGATTAAATCAACCATGGAGCTACTATAGGCTCTGAAACCCCCTGTAAAATCCTCCATCCTCTCCTAATACCATACCAAATAGCACTCCTGCTGAAATTGCCTCTAAGGGCTCTGATTATCGATTAGCAACACCCTCATCCTGACCATAGCCAATCACATCAAAGTTAAAGGTAACCAGCTGCTCCTGAGCTGATGAAAAGCAGCAGAACATGTTTTTTCCCCATTATATTGTGTCTGTGGGGTTTCTTAGATATTAGGCTTTGGTGAGATTTTCATTAGACAGATTATGTGAGTTTTGTTTGGTCTGAAGGGCACTAATGGCTCCGAAACAAACATTTCAGTTTGATTTCTAACAAACTGGGCACAAATCACTCCAGTGTTTGAGTGAAATTTTAACCAGAAGGCTTAAAGTGGGGAACTAAAGCTGACTCATCTAATGATTATGATTTAAAGTGCATATTAGTTAGTTTAGCCTGTGTCCAAGGCATGGATAGTGCTTTAGCCAGAGGAGGAGATATTGTGGAATTGAGTCATTTTATTCAGTTCATTACACAGATTCATATCCAATAACTATGTAGCTTGTTCATATTTTTCTAAGCTATGCAGTTAGATTACATTTGAATAAGTGAGCAACTAGATCACTACTCTTAATGCTGATTATAATACAATTTATCACACTTAGTGATTTGTGACGATTAGTGTAAAATTACTCCCACCTAAGAACCATTTGTGACGCTCAGTCATAGACTGTACATTTAAAAATGGACTTCACCCACTGTTTTTGTGTTTATGTTTTT